TTTTTTTTTTATGTAAAACAAAAGCAGAAGCCTTCCAAATTAAAATAAACTCCATGAAATTTAGATTTTATTAATGATTCACCCACCAATTATAAACCAAGAAAATTGCTAGTAAACATCTCAATGGTTTCGTTTTTCTCCACTAATAGTTATTAACCTATAAATTTCATCAAGTTGTCAAAAAAATTTATCTTTTAAAAAGAGTAATAAAGCTTATCAGCTTTCTGTCCTGCAAAGGCAAACAACTAGATTAGATCAAACTTGTTTTTATAAGGGCAGCCTACTTTCTGGGTCTCCAATTATACTGCTCTTTACACCCAACTCAAGTTTTCCTAAGCCATTCAATTATTCAATTTCTTTTAAATACCTAGTATATATTAGATACTCCTTAAAAGTTAATATTATGTGCTAACAACTATTATTTACTTAGAATCTATTAATAAATTTAAATTTTCAAGCAATATGAAATACCAAGAAATTAGATTTAAAATTGTTAAATTTTTGTTACTTAGTCACATATTTAGGTAAAATATAGAAAATTGTGACTGATTTTTTTTTTTTTTAAGAATGGTATTAAATGGACAGGTGAACTTTAGCTGGGAATAATTATGCTTGTGTTCTTTCCAAGATATTATATATAGTATGTCCCCCCTTTTAAAATGGTCATTGTAATTTCTAACTTGTCTAAAATTGCAAAGTCTACTTATTACTCCACCTATTAATTTTACAAAATTTGTAATAAATCACTCAAACCCTACATTAGTTTCCCCATTTAAAAAATGTGAATAATCCTATTAGTAAGCATTTGTAGGAAGATTTTAATTAATATTTTCTGTATCATCACTACATAGCATTAAACAAGGAAATTAAAATCCTGCAGAAAGTGAACAGTTAGCAATATGGCAAATCTGGAGATATTGCAATATCAGAAAACCCAGGAATATTACAAATAAGGCTCCGTGGGCTGGCTGGTTAGCTCAGTTGATTAGAGCATGGTGCTGATAACACCAAGGTCCAGGGTTTGACCTCTGTACTGGCCAGCCACCAAAAACAACAACAAAACAAACCGAAGAAGAAGGGGAAAAAAAGCCTCCAAAGTGCTTAATGATCATTTTTAATAGAATTTATTTTGTGAATATAATCTTTAAAAATGATATGGAGCCTGATTCCTGTTAAATATAATTTTAAGTGGCAGAAATATAAAATGCAGTTTTGTTAACTGTTTTCTTTTTTTTCTGAAAAGCAGAATCTTATGTACTACATAGTGAAATGAAATGGCAAATGGTATAATCTTAGAAAATTCTAGTCCTATCAAAAATGATTATATCAAAACCATGTAATGTCATACAACAAATTTTGAAATTATTATCTCATATTCTGGACTAACCTTAAAAATTAATTCAATAAACTGGTTTTTACTTCTCTAAGTCTAAATTCTTATGGCCTTTTTTCAAGGTAAAATAAATTGACAGTCACTGTTATTTTGAATATGATAGGATGAATAAAATTGCACATTGTAAGGATCCTGAAAATGTTACACACAATTAGACAATTTTTTGTAGACTCTCAACCTTTTAAATATTTTCCTGCTTACTAGTAACGCTATTTACTTGTAGGTGAAACCTACTGAAGGCGTTAGACTTGAAACCGTGAAATTTGGAATTTAGCAGACCTAGGCTTGTATCGTGGCATTATCACTTATCACTTTAGTACTAGTGGGGGATTCTTTAAACTGTTTCCTCAAGTATGAACGATAAATACTTGTCTAGAGTAATGAACGAAGATGGAATGATATCACACTGTCTGGAACATTCTGAGTGCTGAACGGTAGTTTCATTCTCAGCTGTCTTTGAATGCCATCAATCCTGATTTGAATTTGGCTAGAGACGTTTGTCCCCGTAAATACAGCTTGTTTCTTGACTCTTCCTAGATGTTTCGTTTAGAAGTAATCCACCCATACGTTTATTAACCTACATAGTATTAATTCTAACAGTAAATAATAACCAGTGAGCTATTTTAACAAAGAGTATTAGCACAGATAGATTAACGAAATAAAAAGTATTTCAGTCCAACTTGAGGGATTACTCATCTTATTTTCATTAACAGTTGATTGCCATCTTGTACAGATTTATTGTGCATAAAGATTACATTTAATCACAATGTTGTTTGGGTGGGTTAATCTGTAACTTGAAGTAAAATATATTGATAGTATAAAAGGAAAGCTTTGAAATAATGCAAACGTGGGAAGACGAGGTAAAACGAGAAACAGGAATTACCACATTTCACGGTCAGAAGATTGATTAGAATGCATTTGCTTTCAAGAATTACATTCTCTGCAAAATGGAGGTAAAACCCAGTGAGAAATTAACAATGGTGAGAACAGACGAGTACGGTGTTAAACCATCTTGATAATCAGAAGGCTCAGAGAGGCTTAAAACCCTCATGGAAGACAGGATTTTCTTTTTCCCTTCCCTGCAATCTGTAAATTAATGCCATTTTAAAAAGGGAAAATACGCCATCATCAGATCTTAATAGGCTACTAACATGCTCCTCAGAACGTTAACCTTTAAAAAAAAATTGTGGGCAAATATGTTTGAAGTGCCATTCCACCCCCAAACCCCTTCCAAAACCTAAAAATCATTTTTCAAGTCAAACTCACGGCGCGTTCGTGATTCACGAAGGCAAAGACCTCGAGACTGGAGCATTAGTGCACCAACCCCACATCCTCCGGAAAAATCAGCAATTCCAGTAAAAAGACCGACAAGTACGAGCCATTTGTTTATAGTTTATATTTCAAAAGGAGACAATTTTCAATGTTTCAACTACGCAGCCGCCAATTTCTACAACTGAGTTTACAAACCCCTTCTCCCCTCTGCCTGCGTCCTCCTCCTCCCACCACGCGGAGCCCAGGGTTTCACCCCGCACAGCCCGAAGGCGCCAGGCGCCCTCAGTAGAGCTTCGCCGCCAACGACTTCACTCATCGCGGTCGCCGCTACAGTTAGAGTGGTCGACCAATGGCTGCCTTGGCCCGCACTCGTCGTCCCGCCTTCCAGTTCCACTGAAGCCAATAGAAAGGGCCATCTGGAGACATAAACCAATGGGAATTCCGGGAGAGGCATCATTGGCCCCGGTTATGCCGCAGTGCAGTCTGGGCCTCCGCCTCCGTTACCCTGGAGCCCAGGTCGCTGTGCCGCTGCCACCCAGGAGCCGACGTCCCCCTCCTCCCCCCGCGCCATACCTGTGTTCAAACTTTCCGCACCCCGGCAACCCAGGCCCCCTGCCCCGCAACTTCTGCTGGAGCCAGGCACACGCTCTTTGGTGACCGGACACCGAGGCCCCGGCGGAGGTAACGTCCGTGGAGGGAAGGTAGGGAGGCGGGATGCCGCGTCGGCTCTACTGAAGAGCCCGGCGGGATTGGGGTGGGTTTTGGGGTGGGCATGGGGACCGTGGGGGAGGTGGAGGTGCGGGGTGAGAGTGGGGCTGAAGCGTGGCGAGCGGGCGATGGGGCGTTCGTGGGTGGGTACATGCGGGTGGAGTTACTAAAATAGCGAGGATGAAAGGATTAGGGATGGGGGAGGATTTAGGGACTGGGAGAAGAAAGTTCTAGGAAAATAAGAGCTAGGCAGCTGGGAGAGGGTCGGGAGGTTGACCCCCAGCGGGGGATTGGGAAGTTAGGAGGAGAAAAAGCTGGGAAAGGGTTATTTGTTGGGGCCGGGAAGAGAAGGAAGGGGGTATAGTGCAGGCGGATCTAGAGAAAGGGTAGAGTTATTTTTTAAAAGAAAAGAAAAAACCCAGGAGGCCTGTGGAGATTCAAAATAGGAGAGGCCTGTGGAGATTCAAAATAGGAAAAGAGAAAAAGGGCCAACAGGGGAAGGAGGATTTTGGTAGCTCTGGAATAATGATAGGTTTATTGTTATTAGACTGTGATTAGAGTGGAAAGGCACATTTGTCCAGACTGTCAAATTTTTACATTCTTCAGGGATGGGATGAGAGAAGTAAAGATAGTTAGCAAAAGGTGTGTCTTGTTGGCATAGGTGAGTTGCAGTGGGTACTCAGATATTTGGTGTTCTATGTTGGGCGGATTAGGGGATTTAACAGTGGTGAAGAGTACAGGTCCAGCTCTCCTGAATTTAAAACCCTTTTTTGATCACTTTGTGACCCTGGACAAATTACTGACATCAATTAGTAACAAATTTACTGGCTAGTAACAAATTGCTAGCATTAATTTTGTTTATTCATTTGGGAATAGGAATAGTAGATTTTTCACAAGTTTTAATTTTATTGAGATGTTCGTATCTGTACTTAGGTAAATGAGAAAACTTGGGTGGTTTTGTTAAAGTGGATTTGTTTTTAGGATTTGCTTTGTGTGAGCTATTCATTGGTCTTCATTGGCGATTTTCTTAATCTTGTTCGTCATGGACCATCCCCACACCCAAAGTTGGAAGAAAGTTTTGGTTCCTTTACCTTTATGCTAAGAACTTGGATGGGATATCTCTTTGGGATCAAAAGTCATATTAAAATTTTGGAGGGGTGTGGGGGGACTACATGCATTTTGGAAAAAGGTAAAACCGACAAGATTGCAGTTCTTTACTGCTCTCCCCGCCCCCCGCCCCTCCGCTTTCTCTCTTTGCACGGTTATTTTTTTTTTTTCCAGTTGTAGTTCCACATTTGAATGTTATTTACTATTTTTAACATTTCACTTTGATTTGTTGCGTGTTGACTAGTATGTTTATCCAAACAAATAATAGGAAGTAATGTTTTGATTCTCTTAGTTGACAAAGTATCATTTCAAATATCAAAAAGTAATTGGTGACCTTGGAAAAAAGATTTTCCTTCTTTTGTCAAAGTCACATCTCTTCTGTTAAACATATCATGGAACTGTGATTCTGTAAGATACAGTAGAAGCTGATTACAGTAAACATGCTACTCGTGTTTCTTCCCCTGCCTGTCATTCTTCAACTTTTTGTGGGATCCTCCTCCTCTGCCCACCATTTAATTATTGTTTTCTCTCAAAATTCAATCATCTGTCTTCTCTTTTCATCCTGTGTTCTTTTCTTGGCTGAGTTCATCCTCTTCCTTGGTTTCCACTGTCTATATTTTATTAGCACACTCCCAATTTTTTATCATTGTCCTGGAACTCTTGAGTTGGTATCAAATTTATGTACCTAATTTTTGGTATTTCCATATAGATTTCCCACAGGCATCCTACATTAAACCCCTCACCTTTCCCTGACAAATCTGTCCCAACTGAATGGTACCATATTCACCCAATTTTGCAAGCCCCAAACTTTGGAATTCATTTTGGTTCTCTATTCTCATACTCTGCACTTAATTCCTCACCAAGTCTAGTTCAATTTACTGGATAAATATTACTCTGTATCTATAGTTATACTACCTTAGTTCAAACCACTGTCATCTGTCAACAGGTAACAAGACCAGTTGGTGTTCTTTCTCCATCTTTATTGCTCTTCAGTTCTTGTGTTGGAGATGGATCTTTGTAAATGTTAGATGTGATCGATCTTTTGTTTCCAGCCAACTTCTTAGTATAACATACAGATTCTCTCTCTTTTTTTTACCCACCAGAAAATAAATTTTATTTATCTGTGATATATCAATTTTTATATTCTCATTTTACAGATCGAGATGCACAACACAATATGGTCCTCACTAACAGAGATTCTTCATGTGATAGTCTCTTCCACCTGACTCAGCCTCACTTATTGTTCCTTTATCACTACTCCCCAGCCACAGTAGTCATTCTACACTAGCATTGTCCTATAGAAATATAATGTGATCTATATACACATTTTTTTTCAGTAGCCATACAAGAAAATACAAATAGGTGAAATTAACTTTACTGAATATATTTTATTTAACTCAATATATACAAAATATTATTTTAACATACAATCAATGTAAAAAGATTATTAGAGAGATATTTATGTTTTTTTTTATGTACTAAGTTTTCAAAATCTCGCATGTATCTTACACTTCCAACATATCTCAATTCTGACTAGACACATTTCAGGTGCTCAGTGGTCACTGTGTTAGACAGCACTATTGTAAATTATTTGCAGTTTAATGGTATGCCATGGTTATTTTATGCCTTTTACTTTTGCATATGCTGCTTCTTCCATTGAAACAGT